CGCCGTCCGAGCTCGCCTCCGTGACCGGTCCCTTGTGAAGTCGGCAGCCCAAGCCTCCTCCTTTGTCTCCGTTCCCCTCTTAAGACCTTCCCAAGTTCTTGTCCCGCCGACCGTCCAATCGGGAACCTTGCTGCGAGCCGACCCTCCGACGTCAGCGCTGGGTGAGGGGGCGCTTGCCCCGTTCCTCCCGGAGAGCTCGGACGTTCCGCGACAGGACGGCGACGGGAAACGGGAAGGTCACGGGGAACGAAGGAGCTCCCGACAGTACGGCGGCAGGGAGCGGCAAGGTCACGGAGAGCGGAGGAGCCAGGGAGAGGGTCCCCACAGAGAAAACACACTGAATTAGCATTTTATTGTTGGGAATGTTTGAGAGAAAGAGGAACCTGTGAACAGTTTACAGCTGTTTGAAAAGCAGGTAGTGTCATTGATTTTAACTCGATACAACGCGCCCACAATGCACTGTCTAAATATGCTGGTGTTCTTTTAAAGTTTAACAGACTCTGTATTTGGAGAAGAAAACATGAAGCGGTTCTGATTTTAATTAAAAACACTTTATTTGCTTCTATCCGACTCGAAGTATCAAGAATATCACAGAAAGAAGGCTGTTTCATTGCCGCATCACCTCGAAATACCCCGCCCCTCCGCCGCAACGGGAGAGAGCAGTAAAAGAAGAGAAAACATGACCTCGTGAAAGGTTCCCCGCGCGTGCTCCTCGACTTGAAAAGCCAACGTTGCGCATCGTCGATACTGACCTATACTCCGTTTCACCTTATGTTGTACCGCAGCGAAAACTAGAAGCGCGAGCTCATAGCCTTGGCAGCTGCCCTTGGTGCACGCGAGCTTGTGCCATCGCGCTTGTAGCCTTTCCTGCGGTACAGCACTAGGTGAAACAGAGTATAGTTGGTGATTCATGCTTTTGAAAGATGCCAGCTGAACTTAGGAGCACACACAAAGAAAAAGAGAGAGAGAAAAAAGAGGACAAACGCGCTGCTGGGCTAGCAACTGTTTGCTGAAGATCTTCCTCCACACCCATTAGTTTCATATCTCAGAACAGATGGATGTGGAAAAAGAACAGCTTTATCTTGAGTAAGTGGTTGCTAGTCCAGCAGTTCCGAGCATCTTTCTACAGAAGATGCAGGCACCTCAGCGAATCCGAGGAGCTTACACGAAGCGGAGACGAAGAAACGTACGAATTTGCAGTTGCTAGTTGAACGACAGATAGAATTGGAATCACGCCTGCTTATTTTATGACATCACGGCTCCTCCAACCAATGACGTTCGGCGGTGGCGAGCAACACGTCTAGTGTTGTTTTTTTTTTAAACAAATGATGGGAATATCTATATTCTTCAGGAAAGCATGCGCCAGAAAGAAGCATTAGTTTATTTTTCTAGACCGCTTCAGCTTCTATTTAAAAAGCACGATTCGTAACTTTGGCTCACTGCCCTGCTTCAAACGAGCTTCCACCCTGGCGGTTTAATTCACCTGCACAAACCGAGTAAGTATAGCTTTCTATTGAACATTTGTTCATGAGGCACACTAAGAGTTCCAGAAATATTTTGATGTACCCTTCAAAACATTTTGACAGATTTCAGAGGTTTGACGAAGTTTTTGAGAAGCCCGCGTACCATTCATGAATTTCTGAAAAGCGTGAAATGTCCGCCATAGTTTATTTAGAGGCCTGTGGTCTTTGTCGCGATCTTTTCCGGGAAAACCCCTGACCCTTCAAAATAGTTTTAACAGGTATGTGGGAGACATCACCTGACCCTTCAGGCTATATACGTCAGGGAGGCCCCTTGGCCATTTTATATGGGAGGGCTGCAACAAACACTTGCTCAATGTAGGATTTCCGTTCTACACGTGGATCTATTTCCTAATGCTGCTGCGTGACAATAAAAAAGAAGATCTCTTAGTGTCTGCCCCGTTTCTGTCACATTTCGGTGCGTCCGGCTTCAGAAGCTCCTCCAGCGAGCGGGAAAGACACCGACAAAGCCGCGTCGACGGTACCAGGCGCGGCACTGTGACCGTGCTCAGGATTTTCTCAACAACGACGGATTTTGGTTTCATGCTCGTGTTTTTTTTATAAGTGTGTTAGTGACACTGTTTGTGTGGGTGTGTGCGGTGAACTCGCTTGGTTTTAAGAGTTGAACTACCCTACACCTCAGGAATATTTCGCGAGAACAGACAGGGTTGCCACGGTTTGTTCTGATTGGGGCACGTGGTGAGCTGGGCTATTTCGTAAGCATTTACCATGTTTAAAACCAAGGGAAATAATGCCCAGAAGAGAACGAAGACCAAGGACAAAGTCGTTCCTAACTTGCACAAGGTATCGCATAACTTAATACAAACAACCCAACAATACGCAGATCCAGCTTTCTTTTTTTTTCAGCACATCAAATATGCACACATAGTGTCCAAGCTGCACTTAAACATTGACAAAGATTCCCAGCAGAAATGTAAGAGACATCATTTCTGTGCCCTGTACCTCGTGCGTAGTGTACAGGAACCCCTCAATATATGTGAGAACGTGCCTAAGACATACTGGACAGTAAATAAATGACAGATTACGGCTGCATAACTTGTCAGTTTGACGGTGGGGAGTCATTTACCCAAACACTTTCGAGCTTGCTATTGCAGTCTAACCCTGTCTAGTATCACTATCATCGTTCATTATGAGAAACAACTCTCCAGAGAAATTTACGAGGCGTGTATCATACAAAGTTTGGGTTTGCACTCTGCAAGCAAGCCTTCAGTTTCAGTACCTGAAAAAGAAGAGTCCCTTTTAAATGCTTCAATGGGCAGGAGTCATCGCCTCTCGGGCTTGAGTGATTGCGCCATGAGCACGTTCCTGTTGGATATGTGCCTTCTTCTGCGTTCTTCTCTCCTGGGTGAAATATTGATTTTCGAGTTTCGTGTTTGTCCTGTCTGCTGTATTTTTGTAGTTTCCTACCTTTTTTTGCTGATTTTAGCCACGTTTGTTCTGATCGCATCTGTTTTCAACTGCATGTGCCTAGGTTTGAATACACGTTGGTTTTAGAGCGATGCTCTTTGGCGCCCGCTTCCGGCTTGAGCAGCGTCGGCGTCGGCGTCGCCGTCGGCTAACCATAACGCGTCAGCGTAACACACCGGCGTGACGCGCTGGCGTGACGCGTTGGCGTCGCCGTCGGCGTAACCGCGAGGTGCTTTATAGCCGATTCACACAACGGACCGAATCGCGATTTTCGTCCGCGGACCGTGTACCACGTGACCGGCACGTCGCCGATTCCAGCGATCCGCTCCTCGTCCGCAGACGCGCGGACTGATAAAGTCGAGCGCCTTTTTCACTCGCGGATGTTTGGCGGGGGATTGACTTGAAAATCATTCAGTCTAGCAACGATACATGGTTTTCCTCTTTCTTTTTTTTTTTTGTTTCGAGACGATTAAAAAAAAACGGCGCATCGTTGTGTTTTCTGCGTTCGCTGGTTCGTTTTGTCACGCGATTCTTGGTTCCACGCGTGAAAGAAACTGCAAACCTCTGTCCGGCTGACGCGACGCAGGTTCCCGTACTTCTCCGGGTCCGTGTCAAGAAGCTCCCCTCAAATCTCGTCTAGTACGCCAGGATAATTCTTGCACGTCCAATCAGGATTTCACCGAGCAAGCCCTCCCTTGTGGCTGTGGTGTACTTGAGTGTTGTGCACGAGCGCGGAGTGCCCGAAGGCATCTCCAAACGCCCCTCCGCGAGCCCAGAACGTCGTCGCTTCTACGCCGAACCCTTCTCAAGCAGGACCATGCCTGTGCCACTGTCATGCTCTGGGCCAGTAAAGCTAGTGGTGCTTCGCGCAAAGTCTATCATGGGATTTTGTCTGGATCTGTACGTAACAGCGGCGTACGATTCTCTATCGCGGTAGGAAACATCCATTTCTCTCTTGGACAACGGTGCCACGGTGCGATGCTGGAGTTTCGCTGCACTGTGGGGTGGCGAACAGGTTCGGTCCGTCCTCGCTGGCGTCTGCTCGTCGTCTCCCTCGTGTGGATGCGCTTGGGAGACGGACGAACCGCGGACATGTCGTCACGTGATCAATCTGTCCGCGGATCGGTCCGTCTTGAGAATCGGCCATTATAGGAAACGCACCATAATGCACCATGGTGACGCGCGCGCGTTGCATTATGGGACGTTTTTGATAATGCACCGCGCGGGAGGGAGGAGGGTGAAGGAAATGGAGAAGGATGAGGAGGGAGGAGGAGAAGAAAGAGGGAGGAGGAAGGGGAGGAGGAGAAAGAGAAGAGAAAGAGGGAGGAGGAGGCGAGGAGAAGGGGCATAACGTCCCCTTCATACCCCGCTCCTCCTCCTAAAGAACTGCGCTCTAATTTGGCATTACAGGGAGTTGTAAACGTCTTTAATTTTTATTGCCTTTTTGAGTGTTGACATGCATGTAAAGTTCAATTTCTAAGATATGCTTCCAATGACGTTCTAAACAACCGAATTGTTAATCTATGGTTCACAGTCATTTAGGCATTCAATGGATCGAAAGGCCTGAAGGTGTGAAGGGTCTTAAACGTCTGAAAGGTCTGAAGGGCTGAATGGCCTGAAGGGTCTGAAGGGCTGAGGAGTCTGATGCCCTGGAGGGATTTGAAGGAATGAGGGGTTCCCGTTACATATTACGACTGAGGGGTCATTTTTAATAAGGCTTTCATGGCTTTTTACAACAAATCTGCAAAAAATCATATAAATTCCACTTCATAGACTACCACCCACATTCAAAAAATAAAACAAACCGTTCACTGCTCAATTTGTAAGAATTTAGTGAAAACCAATTTAAAAAGTTGAAAATATTTATTGACCAAATGTTTTTCTAAAGTAAAGTATTTTTACTTATTTGTAAATTTATGTTATTCGTTAGCCCCACATATTCTCATGCAATAAAAATATAAGTTTTATTATTTTTATTAAAACGTGGCATACAAAATAATTTCCAGTTTGACAAGTTTTATTAGATCAAAATTAGAAGAATGTACACGGGTGTTAACTGTATTTTATAATTGTTTTAGCCTTTGGCATGGGCTTCCGGATTTTTTTGAGTGCGAATACCACAGCGTCTTTGAATAATCCGTGCTCAATCAGATTCTCAAGCGTTGTCTGTAGAATGCCTTTTAAACTAGAGGGTGACTTTGCCTTCAGACAATACGCAGCTGGAGGCGGATTTACCGGCTTCCCGTCGGAATTCCTCATTTCGTAATGGTTTTTATTCCAGATTAACCGCTGAAAGAACATATAATTGTTACCTGCAATGAGTAAAATTACAACAATTATATATTTTGATGAACGTCTACATTGACATAATCAGATTCTGTGAGTGTTCCAATTTAACCTAGAATGAAATTTTGACCTATTGGTCCAATCTTGAGAAATATATCAATTCTACAGTCTTCACATAGGGGCTGTCCACCAGCAACACACTATATCCCCAGATAACCCTCGATCAAATCCTATGTTATGAACGCCTAAATGACGGTTTTTAAATATCTGTATGTCTTAAGCTGTGCGTTATGCGATTGGGGTAAAAACAGTCTCATCTTCTAGAGCAGTAAAATTACAATTTTTTGTTTATCAAAACACCTTTATGGGAAAAAAGAAAGAAAATGATTAATTACTGTTTCAAAATCCTACGAATAGCTGTGTTTAAATTGATATGCGGAAAATGGGTAGGATTTGTTTCATATAAATATTTGTTACTATTTTTTTATTATCGCACGGGTAATAAATAAAATTGATAATAGTTGCTTTCCCTTAGTCTCACTGGTATTTCTTGAGGTTTAAAAATAGAACGAAAATAAAAAAAGGAGTTCAGGAAAGCCGAATTGTAGGCTAGGCGTGCAGGCGAAAAAATTCTGTAGGTCCCATGACGTCAGGCGAAGTGATATTACTTTTCCCGCCAAATTTAGGGGTGAAACTGAATTGTTGCATAAGTCACGTGATGTCAATTTTCCGCTATATAGCGCGAATCTGAATTTGTCTGTAGTTTAATGACGTAAGGTCACGTATTATCAGTTTTCCCGCCAAATATTGTGGAGAATCTGAATTAGTGCATAAGTCACGTGACGTCAATTTCTTCACTAGATTTAGCGGGTACACTGCATTGGTGCATATGTCAAGTAACGTAAATTTTATCGTTAAATTTAGTGGGGGACCTGTATTCGTCTGTACGTTCCTAAATGTCAGGCCACGTGACATCAACTTTCCCGCCAAATATGGCGGGGTAACTGAATTGGGGCATAGGTCACGTGACGTCAATATTACGCTAAATTTAACGGGAAACTGAATTGGTGCCAAAGTCATGTGACGTTAATTTCTCTGCTAAATTTAGCGGGTTAACTGCATTGGTGCATACGTCAAGGTACATAATTTGTTTGGCTAAATTAAGCTGGGAACCTGAATTCGTCTGTAGGTCCCGTGATGTCAGGTCACCTGACTTCAGTTTTCCCGCCAAATTTCGCAGGAATGAATTGGTGCAAAGGTAACGCGACGGAAATGTTTCTGCTAAATTTAGCGGGAGACTAAATTTATTTACGTTCACGTTGTCGCAAGATCGGGAGACGAGCGCCGTAACAGCTATCGCCGTAAAAATGTCTCATTCGCAGATTGCGGAGCTGTAAGCTCTGTGGCAATGTCCGCATTCTCTCTGTTCTGCCTTCAGTTTCGTGCAAAATTTACTCGCTTTCATTGGTGGGTTTTGAGTGATGTTTTATTTTTGTCATTTATGGTAGCAAAAGCCGCAAAATTCTCGATTATAATTGTTATCGTGCCAGCTTTGAACTGTGTGTTATATTTTTCTTTTTTAACATATACATGTTTTGTATACCATTTAAAGCAGAACGTTCTACGCTCTTCTCAATTCATTAATATAATTGTTTTAGAAAGAAAAGTTGAAACGAGGGAAAATGCAGGAATACAAGATCCAGTAGGTTAAAATGATTGAATAATGCAAACAAACTCAAATGGGCTTACCCACCTTCTTGAAAAACTAGCGTTCCCGTGATTGTGGCGTGCACCACATAGACAGTTCCTTCATTGTCCAACTGTGGCAGCTGCAATTTGAGGTCATTAAACTTAACAGGACAACGTAGGGTAGTTAAACTGCCCTTCTTCCCTTTGTAAATCCACTTTTTGCAACTTCCGTTGCGCCAAAACAGAAAAGTTAGACCGAAAATGCGCGACCAGCGATCCTTGCCAAGGTTTATGCTGCGGCCACTCACGGACACAAGGTGGTCAGGCAGTAGGACACGGTACATGCTTCCATTTAATCGTTCATGTAGTTCCTGCTGAACCATTGTTACAACTTTGTCCATAAAAGTGTCGTAGCGTTTCACACCTCCAAGGCGTTGCGCTCCTGGGACAAAAACAATAATCTGAGTAAGCGGCTTGAAAACTGAACTTTTAAAATAATGCATGTATATTTTAAGTGTGTTCCTAAAAAAACGCGGTTCGTTCTTTGAGGACATGTTCAAGTGCACTTGCTCTATGTTAAAAAAAATTTAAATGTTATAGACTTTTCCAAAAAGAGCTTTCCGGCCGCCGTCATTTTGTGACTCACGATTCCTATTAGCCAAAAAGCGTGACTCTCCACCTGCGTTGTGCGTTCGGAGTTCGCCAGCCTTTTTTTTAAAGTGTTTACTTTATTTGCCTATTCAGGATGCTTACACTTTTTCTGATATCCTCAACTATGAGAACCAGGGAATACCTGTGCTCGCTGCCTGCTCGGTCTTTACGGGAAACGAAAGAAGTAAGCGAACGTTGATCAACCAGCGACGAGTGCCGTTCGAAGTTTTCTTCGAAAATTATCTCCACTGACATGGGGTGGTCTGGCAACCTCTAATCGAAGAGGCGAGCGTCACGTCGGACTCCCGTTTTGATCACCGGATGTCACGGTTCCTGGTTTCGGAACCCCATCCAGAGCTCTACAGAGGCCTCTAACAACGTCCGACACCCCTGGATACTACTCTCGGCACGAACAAGCTCGTATTGTCTCAACTGCGACGAAACCTTCACTACTGTTGCGCTAAGCCTAACCGCCCAGGCCAGCGAGACCGGCGCGCAAGCTCGCCGCCCGCCACCAGCCGCGGCAGCTGCCGCGCGCCCTCCTAACAACATGGACACAGCATCATCCGACATGGAATGGAAATTTCAATCCCCGACGCCTCGCCAAGCCCACGCGACTACTCTCGTCGTGAAATTTAACACCAGCATCGGCCTAAGCTCCTACACCCCCCGCCATGTGTCTCAAGCTCTGAGTACCACCGCCCGACTGGTGACAGCTGAATACCACAATCTCCTCATAAAGATACGCCCCGTTCAAAACCTGATCGTGGTCGACTTCTACCGTCAGTCAACCACAGCCAAACTCCAAAACGTCCACCAAATCGTGCTCCACGGACCAACGTATTGCATCAAGTCGTACGTGGCACATGATCCATCCTAAGAACGCTCGAGGTGTAATTCACAACATTACGCAAGACTACAACGACGAAGAAATCAATGATATCCTCTGAGTACAAGGTAGGAAGATCTAATTTCGACGACAGGGAGCCACCAAGACTATCATGGTGACCTTGGAGGGTCCGCGCCTCCCTCGATACGCGATCTTTGCCCTCACAACCTTCCACGACTACCCGCCATGAGTCTGCACCCCACAGTGCAAGCACTGCTTGCGCTTCGGCCGCCAGGCTGATGTAGGCCCTCACAAACGAGCTCACTGCTCCTGAAAAGACTGCGGCCAACGTTTCCCACCAACGCCGGACAACGAAATCCCAGAACACGAATGCATACTCTGCTGACTAAACTGCGGAGCCAACCAGAGTGCAACAACACCAACCTGCCCCACTCTCCCCCAAGCGTATCTCCAGGCACAAATTCAACGCCGCCGAAACCTATGCCAGGGGAAGCCGACGCAACCCCCTCCCCCCAGAAACGACAACGCTCACTGGCCTCGCCTGGAAATACGCAATAGTTCCTCGACACTCGCCAATGAGGATTCTACCCATCAGGCCCAGCAAGACTCGCACAAACCCCGCAATACAAGACAGAGCCCCCCAAAGCACCGGACCCGATACTACACACCGCAAGGCCAACAACGACACAAGCCGGAACCCTCCCCAGGGGACCTCAACCGAATCGACCCTCTCTCCTCAGGCCCCTCGGCCGCCGCTAACCCGGACCAATACCGAAACACCATCATTTACTGGACAGGTGAGGGGCTCAGTGGCTCCTCTTCCCCCTCCCTCCCCCACCCACATTATCACCCCCAGATCAACCACCTCATCTACGGCCTGCAACGCTCCCGCCCCCGGAATACAATACCAATGACATAGTATCCCTCATTAAAATGACCATCATGGGTTTGATACCCAAACCTACAACAACACTAACTGCTCAGTTTCAGCCGCTCATTCCACAAGAAATCAACCTCCAACTAGCCGAGGTGACAGACTGTCTTCCCTGCAAACGCGCACAAACCACACCAGATGAAATGCACTTGGACAATCATGAATAGCCACCACACAGCTTCCGATTATCCCAAGATAAGGCAGTGGAACTGTCGCGGCTTCCGGAAAAAAAGTTTTTTTCACCCAAAATATTCTCCACCATAAGTGTCCCCAGATATCATCCTCCTCCAAGAGACAATGGCGTTTTTTCTCTCCCTGGCTACGATCATTGCTGTTAGCCATCCATCCCCCGCATATCATTCTAGCATCATCCTGCTCCACAAGCGCCGGGCATGACAGTAACGCATGTGCGCAAGCACCACCCTACAATTCAATACGACGCAGCACACATGAACACCTCCCACATGGAGCAGGTGCACACACAAAGCATCATTAACGGCATCAAAATACACATCATCGACACCTACTGGTCGCCATCGAAACAACCCGACGTATTTCCTTCTTGGCACCGGTATCCGCGGCACTGGCTCTCTTCACGCCAGCACTTCATAGCGGGGGACCTCAGTGCCCCCACTATGGCTTGGAACTACAACGGAACCGAGCCAAGAGGCCGCAAACCCGAGAGTTTCATGCAACAAGAAGCCTTCACGCCCCTCAATAATTTCACGCTTCCGACAAGAACTGGCAGTAGCAAAGAAGTCGATGCGAACCCGGACCTCACGTGGCTCAAAGGCCCGGACAAGCCACACTGGTAAAATACCGAAGAATCTCTCAGAAGTGACCACTGCATTATTCAAATCACTCTGCGGATAGGCCTCGCAAGTACATTACGCAGGCATATCAGACAGAACCACATCACTAACTGGCATAAAGCACGCCTCGACATGGAAAGCTCACTAACACATTGTCCTACCCGGAATGGTTATCCTCCCTCCAGAACGTCTTTAAAACCCACACAAAGCATATCCGCTCCACCGAAGACTACCCTGCGGTGGATACTCACTTGGTCTCCCTGTGGACGCGCCGGCAAAATCTACTCCGCAAGTGGAAAAGGCAGAAAAATAACATTAACCTCTACCAGAGCATTCAAAACCTCAATTATGAAATCACCAGCTATGCACTACAGATCGCCACGGATCCATGGCTCTCGCATTGCGAACATCTATCCCAGCAGCTTCGCAACAGGAGGATATGAAGCATACTCCGCTCCCCCCTCGGGAGAAGTACTCAACAAAATCACCTCGCCAAGCTCAAGATAAACAACTACACCAAAGGCCAATTTACAAAAGCACTTCGGGATACCTACTATCCGGAAAACAACCAACAGCCACCCCTTCTAAATCCGGAAGCCACTGAAACACACGAAGGCATTCAGTGCGACTTCATTCTCAGAAAATTCAAAGCAACCCTTCGAACACTTCGGCGAAATACAGGTCCTCGACCGGACAACACTCCGGAACCTCTCTCCTCAGGCAACTATGGACCTACTACAAAATATCAATCAAGCCTGGCGCACAGGGATCCTCCCCTCAGAATTGAAGGAAGCTAAGGTCACTTTCCTGCCCAAACCCGGTAATGACCCAAGTATTATCCCAAAACTTAGTCCAATTTCCATGACCTCCAGCATACGAATGGTCATGGAAAAGATGATACTCACGAGACTTGAATGGCACATTGACCACACTCACCCCCTGCCATCAACCCAAACAGGCTTCCGACGACACATGAATGGCCAGGGTATTGCGCTTTGGTTGCAAGCCACCACTCAAGTATACCCAAGTGCGGCGGAGCTGCGTACAATCGTACCAGTCGATATTAAGAAAGCATTTGACAATGTCGAACACGCCAGCTTACAGCGGAACCTTCAGCAGCTTGGAATCTGCGGCCGACTATGCAATTGCGTCCAAGCCTTCCTCGCGGAACGGACGATACGTATACTCGACAGTGACCGACAACTATCAGATCTCTTCCCTATCACTAGAGGCACGCCAGAAATATCCATTATTATTCCGATGTTATTCAACAGCGACATCATGAACCTACCCTCCGAACTCGGCCGCATACCTCATATTCATCGTGCCTTATACGCTGATGATATCATTATCAATTGCAACGCAGGCAATCCTGGAGAAGAAGAAACGGCACTCCAAGAAGCTTTCGATACAATCGAAACTTATGCCAACAAAATTGGTCTATCCTGTTCCCCCGAAAATCTGTATATATTGTCATCACCGACGAACAAATCAAACTCAAAGCTCAGATTCAACGTGACCTGATCAAACTTCGCCTCCACGACAAAGCCATACCCCGTATGGCATGTATCCGCGTCCTCGGCTCTGTTATAGCAAGAGGATCTTCGGCACACAATATAGCTCCACAATACCCTTCGAAATATTAATCAGATGAAGAACATCCTCCAACGCATTACCCGCGGGAACAAAGGAATGACTGAATCTGCCCTTCGAGGAATATTGGAGGCTTTAATCTAAACCCGAGGACCGTACGCATTACCGTAAGTCCGGCTGACAAACACAGGACGCAAGAAGTTAGAAGCAGCACTCCGTCTGCGTCTTCGAACGGAACAAGGTGTGCCCAAACATGCACTCAATCACCCCACTGAAGCCACAGCCCTTCGTAACAACCTTTAAGAGAGTCTCCGTCCACCTTGAAGCCCAACATGTCCGCCTCAAAACCACAAAACAAGGACAAGCCCTCCCTCAGGAACTAGGCCACACTGTACCCCCAGTGTCATCTCCCCCTTAGTTTACACCCAGGCAAATGATACGACTCACGGTGGCGCCAATACCCAAAGATATGAACCCCGTTCACCACTCTGCCCGTCGCCAGATAAAAGGACTCCACTATGACCAAAACGGCCCTGGCTTAAACTACACCGCTGCCAATTTCCACGAAGGTACGGCATATACAACCGTCCACTGTACAGCGGGAAAGACTACCCACACGCATACTTATGTCCCCATGGCAACAAACGCAAAAGAACAAGCGATTCTCGAAGCCATCACGCTGCACGAGCACCCCACGACGGATGTCCTACATCG